CTTTCGCGAAGATCGCACTCATGACAAGTGGTGCGGTGCAGTTCATCAAGAATTATTCTGCGACCGTGGACTTCTGTACGTCAATCACACTTTCCCACCGCCCGAGCTAATGCAACTTGGTATCAGGGAAGAGATCAGGGAAGGACGTAGAATATCAGGCGCGCGACGTTTCTATTGCCTACACCGAGGCGCTAGACGACTTGATGCAACAATACCGGCGCCACGAAGACCGGGGAGTCCAGGTCGATGCATTCCGCGTACTTGAAGAACTGGACTTGGACGGTTTCGCCCGTGCCCGAGGCGTGGGTGTCAATTGGACCAAGAGATGCCTTGATGGTACCAGGAGGGAGATCCTCACGGATATTATTAACTGGATCTATGATACCGCTGAAAATGTGCCACGCATCCTCTGGCTCCATGGGCAAGCTGGGAAAGGGAAATCTGCCATTGCGCATACGATCGCTCTGTGGTTTAAGAGCATTGGAGGGGTCGGATCTTGCTTTTGCTTTTCTCGTGACTGGCAGGCCGAGCACCTCGAAGAACAGTTAATCAGGACAGTTTCATGGGACCTCGCAGAGCGTGATCCCGCCTTCCGGCGAGCCTTGGCGGATGCAGTTGCGAAGGATGATATTCTCAAGACTACCTCTGACATCGCGCTTCAGTGGGAACGACTCATTTCGGAACCATTGCATCAGAGTTCGAGTCATATCGTTGGGAATGTGCTCGTCGTCGTCAACGCATTGGACGAAAGTGGGGCAGAACCATCGCGGAGGCACCTGCTGTCTGTGCTTGCATCAGCCCAAACTGCTGAACTGCCTCGCAACGTCCGCATTCTCGTGACGTCCCGCACATTGCCTGATATCGAGCATATCCTCAATGCTCCTCAGCATGTGAAGTCGACCTCGCTGGACGACGTCTCTACAGGGTTATCGGAACGTGACGTCCGATTGTACGTTATGAAAAAAGTGGGCCATCTTCGGGGCGTTGGGCCTGCAGTAGTTCATGCGATTTCGCAGAAGGCGGAGGGTCTATTCGAATGGGCGCGTCTGGCTTGTGAATTCGTGAACCCAAGTGCAGTCAAGAACGGATCAGTCAAGGAACGCGTCGACAATGTCCTGAATCTTCGTTCAGGAGGCGGATTGCTGGATGCCATGTACCGAGCAATTCTTGAAGACAGTATCCCCAAGGACGGGACCATACTAACACAGTTCCGTTCGGTGATGCAGCAGATCATGGCAGCACACGAACCTCTGCACTTGAATACTTTGAATAAGATGCGCAGTCACTTCCCTGATAAGGAGGACTGTTATGACATAATTGCAATTCTTGAATGCATGGCCCCGCTATTGGGTGGCATTACAGATAGGTCTTGTCCTGTCCGACCACTGCATGCATCGTTCTATGACTTCCTGATGGATTGTTCACGGAGTGGTGTCTACTGCATTGACACATCTGACGGAAGAGACATGGCCTTTGCCACATTGCGGATTCTCCGTGATGAGCTTCAATTCAACATCTGTGGATTGGAAAGCTCATACCTGGCCAATGCTGAAGTTCCTGATCTGTCGAAGAGAATCAAGGAGAACATCCCACACCATCTTACCTACTCCAGTCGATTCTGGGGCCAGCACTTGCAAAAGACACCATTTGACATGGAACTTGTGGGATTGGTGAAGGCTATTGTTGGAAGTGAAAAGATTCTATTCTGGCTGGACGTATTAAGTCTTCTTGGGATGGTTGGAAAGGGTGTAGATGCTCTTAGTACTGTTGCAACAGGGCTATGGGTGAGTACCTTTTGTACAGAGTTTGATGACATCTGACACAATGATGAAGGGACAAGATGACTTTGACTTCAAGTATCTATTGGCATTGGTAGAAGATGGAATCAAGTTGATTCGGAATTTTGGCAGTGTGATAGTGCACAGCACTCCACACCTTTATGCTTCTGCATTGCCATTTATTCCTTCCAATGCATTGTTATCAATGATGCTCTTGCCAAAATTCCCAAGGCTGGCTAGAGTTGCTGCAGGAGGGTTGAAAGGGTGGCCAGTTGAACAGCAGCTACTGCAAGGCCATGCATCTCAAGTGAATTCAGTTGCATTCTCCTGTGATGGGAAGAAGATTGTCTCAGGCTCTCGGGACAAGACTGTGAGGGTGTGGGATGTTGAGGGAGGTGTGCAGATTGGCAGCCCTCTTGAGGGCCATACTGATTGGGTTGATTCAGTTGCATTCTCCCCTGATGGGAAGAGGATTGTCTCAGGCTCAGGGGACAACACTGTGAGGGTGTGGGATGTTGAGGGAGGTGTGCAGGTTGGCAGCCCTCTTGAGGGCCATACTTCTTCTGTCAATTCAGTTGCATTCTCCCCTGATGGGAAGAGGATTATCTCAGGCTCAGGGGATAACACTGTGAGGGTCTGGGATGTTGAGGGAGGTGTGCAGATTGGCAGCCCACTTGAGGGTCATACTTCTTCTGTCAATTCAGTTGCATTCTCCCCTGATGGGAAGAGGATTGTCTCAGGCTCAGGGGACAACACTGTGGGGGTCTGGGATGTTGAGGGAGGTGTGCAGATTGGCAGCCCTCTTGAGGGCCATACAAATGAAGTCAATTCAGTTGCATTCTTCTCTGATGGTAAGAGGATTGTCTCAGGCTCAGATGACAAGACTGTGAGGGTCTGGGAGAATGAGATGCTCACAATGGTTGCATCCCACCCCTCCTGCATATTTCATCCATACCCTCCTCCAGATGGTATGTACCTCCACCTTCTATCTATTGTTATTTCATTTAACAAGAAGTGCAGGTGTCATGGGAGATCCCATTTGCTTTTCATTTGACCACTCACATGCTCTGCTTAATACTAATCCACTTGTTGATGGGTTCATGCAACAGAAGGCTAGTCTGGGTGAAGCAGTCAAGCTACATGATGATGGCTGGATCAAAGGCCCAAAGGGACAACTACTACTTTGGATCCCTCCAAAACTTAGGAAACCATTTTACTCAATTGGGACCAAAGTAGTCATCCCCAGAGGCTGTTGCATAGAGTTGGACTTAAGTCAGATGGCCCATGGCAAAGAATGGTTCAAATGTTTCTATTTCACCCAGTGAATGATGGTTCAAATTGTATTTTGATGTTGGGTATATCTGCTGTCATACTACCATAAATTAGTTCATACCCCATATTTGTTCAATGATCATTTACCCTGCTAGTTACACCCATGTCCTCTGACATGGTATCACATACTACATGTTATCACACCCCACTTTCAATCATACTTTATGATGTGCTACCTGGTGATAAGTACAAATTGCATCCAAACACTTGCATAACAATTCACCAGGATGACCCCTTAACTGGTCACTATGCCCCCAGCCACTATTCTCTCCCACCCCTCTGCCCCATATTTGGCATCTATAAACTCACAGTACAATCTGCCTACAATGATTTTCCCCAGACAGTTATTGCATGCTGTCAAATGTCCCTTGAGTCCTGTGACATTCCCCTGGTTATGATCCTTATCCAGGTGATGTCCTTATATCCCTCCACCACCTCATCATACATATACAGCTCTTTTTTCATTTCCTGTGCCATTTCCTCTCATTACTGGTAGATCAGCACTGAATTTGCCACATTCACTGGCATGTGGGGCATTGTGAATGTGAACAGGTGTGGTTTTGATGTTGTTCTTATGTCATTAATGTAGCTGCAGAGGTTGCAGTGTTGGCACAGGTCCACAGTCTTGTCATGACTGGTTGCTGTGAGTCATTATCATTACTTGCACTAGTCCTGATCCCACATGATGATGTCAATGAAGAGAGCTGAGCACACACTATTTGTTTATATTCCACCCATCATTCTCCATGTCTTGACTTGGGCAATGTCAGCCCCTTTCTTCTTACCATAGTCTTTCTCACCTGCACCAACTTTGTGTAATGGCCATACCTTGTCTACTCACATCTCATCTTATCTTGTCATAATTATCTAATCAAATCTTGGCACATGGTTCTACACCCTTCTGTGCCTTTCTTTTACTTACATGTTGCTTCCTCACATTCCCTGATGATGCCACTGGTAGTGTCATGATCACAGCTATGTGCACTTCACATGTGTAGGGACATCTCTGTAGTACAGGTTGCCCAGTGAACTCATTTGAGTTGACCTTCAGATCTTAGCCTCAAAGTTTCCAACCATATTCCTCTCCTCCAAGTGACAGTAGGATGATCTGAGACACTCCAACATAACTTGTGCAGTCTAAGCAATGTATGTGGGTAAACATCACACCAAAGGAAAGGAAACACAGGAGGGAATATGTCTCCAACAAAATTGCAATGCAGGTCTGTTGATTATGTTTGGTCAATGCTCAAGGAACCCCTTAGGTCTTAATTACATCTGTCATCTGGTAACTACAGGACAGACTTTCCCAGCCAACCAGATCTGCCTTCGGTCTGGACAGTTTTTAGTTTCCGCAGCAACTATCATTTGGGGGGTCTTGCCGAAACACACACCTGCTGACGGCGGAACTATGATTCTCCATGGCCCAACTTGGGCAACACCAGCTTCCCAGGTTTGTTGTCCCCTCTCTTCTTGCCCTTTCCTTCTCACCTATGCCAAGCTACCACCGCTGGAAATAGAACCAGAAATTGATGGATTTGGGGACGAGTTCGAGTAATACGAGGACAGGTAAACTAGCGGCGGTGACACACATGACAAAACACATACCATTCGCGTTCCGCGCCGATGTGCGGGTGCGCAGAGTTGTGACTGACTGGTTGTTTCCATCGTCCATGTCTCTTTACCAGCATGGAAGTTCCAACCACTCTCGCCACAATCCGCTTCATGTGTCTCTGTTCAAGCAAAGCAGATTCAGGTCTCAATGATAGCCACATACTAACGTAGTTTCACTTCTCCTGATAGTGGACCCAGAACCGCCCGACATGATGGCACTCGCGTTTTGCAATCCCCAGCCGTCTATGTGCTTCGCGCAATTGGGTGAGGTGGGGGGTTCCAGCCGTCTTACCTCCACCTGCTCTAGACATCATCTCAGCCTCCGCCGTCGTTGTCATCTTTGCCATTGATGTTGTGGAGCTCGAAATACCTGTCATAGATGCAGTAGCAGCTCAACCTCACTTACCATCTTCTTCCCTATTCCCCTCGCCTGCGGCCTCCCAATTCCCGTCAATACTCTGCTTCGTGCCACGCCGCATAGGTGAGTATATGGTTTTCACATGCTCTCGTTCAAGCTGCCGCGTTGGTATTGAGTTTGAGTTGACATTTGTGCTATTAAGCGACTTAGAAGTGGTTGATTCCGAGTCTGAGTTTGCGATGGAGCTCGTGATGTCAGTCACTCCAAGTTCCTCCCGTTCGTCATCCTCGATGTCGTCAGATGAGGCTTGGGGAAGCTGTTGCGGTGGGAAAGACGACGAGGGCGCACCGGGATGAGGCTGAGTGGGTATATGCGTAGGTGCCGGTATGGAAGGGATATCCATCTCGCGTAGTCCTGCCATAGTCAGGTTGACATCTCCTGGTGTTGGAGTGTTGCTTCTGCGTACAAGCAGGATCTCTGTCGTGTGTAGTCCTGTCATAGCCAGGTTGGCAGCTTCTGGAGTTGGGGAGTTCTTTCTATGTGTCATCAGGGGTTCGTCGGAAGTGACGGGAAAGGTAGCTTTAGGGAAACTGTAGGCAAAAAAGGGGATCGGCACACTGTGCGAAAGACAGGGCACAAATAAAGTGTGACACACCTGGGGAGTCATGCAATACTTCCATCACCACTGCTAAGTCTCATAATCCTTGGCATGGTATCTGCACTGTCGCGTATGTGTGCAATCTCGGTCTGAGCCTGACATGTCGAACGTGATTTAGTTGATTGGGTCCGGGTATCGAGGTCTAATTTTCTTGTGTACTCGGTCAGTATCGACGGCCGCAATGGCGGACCGCCTGCTCTTAGTAGCACTCACAGGTCGTAGTTATTCCACAAGAGCATGTTCTCTGCGTTTCCGTCAGGTCCAGGTCCTGAAGATTGGTGCGTCGTCTTACGAACAGCGGGTGCGTTGTATCTAGTGGTGAACGGGAGTCGTAGGAGGGACGACTTGTCGGTCTTGGCCTTGAATGTACCACAGGTGCTGGGCTGCAGAGAACTTGGTTAGTGTACGATCGTGTCATAAAAGATCCCACCCTGCATGGACGTGGACCGGGGGACTGTCCGCGGATGCAAGCCCGCAGCGAGTCCCTCCAGAGCAGGTCAAACTCCGCGTCGTCCTCGGCGTTCCGAGGGTTACCAGCAGTAGAAAGGAGACGACAGGAGGCGACACTCAAATTCATCTCGACGGAGGCGGACTACGTTTTCCCAATATCGAAGATATCCTTCTTTCGCACACGGTGAGTTCTTTTGTATATGACTGACTCCCGGCTCACCCCGCCTCTTCCAGGCATTCTTGTTTATTCTGGAGGAGCGACAGCGTGAATTCAGACTCTATGTAGACTGGGTAGGAAAGATGTTAGAAACATGCGCGCCTCAATGCACGTGTATCTGGTTCGTGGTGCTGCCAGATGAGAGAGCGAGCACATTGACTAACTGATCCCAAGACCACTGTATCAATCAAAGTAATGCGGGGAAAGTATTACACTCGCTCAGGGATACCAACCAAGGGTTGACTGCTAAACTACAGGTTCGGTCATTTATATCTTGCTAGCTTGCCTCTTCCTAACCGTCAGTCCTTCCTAGTGTCTCCGGGAAGACCCCTCAGCCAGGAATCTCGACTTATCTAGTTACCTTCTGGCACCAAGTACACACGTCCAGTTAGCTGCCCGTGGAAAAACGATTCGCTGACGATGACTGATTCCTATTGCAGTGTCTAACACGGTATCCTCTGCTCATCCCGCAAGTTCTGCAGTATATCAACCCACCCACATCATCACCCGACCTGTTTTAGGTACTAGGATTGACGCCGTCTCTTCTCACAGCGCATGCGGAATGGGAGTTAACAGGACATGCGCTGGTGTTTGCGGAATATATATATTAGAAGAGGTGAATGAGACAATACGAGATCAGGAGAGCCGGGCGAGGGTTAGTGAGGTGAGCAACCAGCTAAGGATGGGCAAGGGGTAAGTATCGTGTTTTCTCATTCCTTTTAATTCCATCACTGACGACATGAGATATCGCTGACATCACATCTCCCTTGTGTTTTCCGTGTTCAGTCGTCTTGACCTTACGCTTCCGAATCACCGCCTAGGTCCTCGAAAACTCCTCAAAAAAGGCGCGCTGACGAAAGCAAAATGGAGGCGTAAGCTAGGCGTACTACTTTGGAGCGATGTTCTCTTACTTTTCAACGAGAACGGCAGCGGAGGGTTACACCGCGTGGCAAGTCCACCATCTCATAACCGTTGTATTTCATATTCACCTGACATGACCCCTAGCCTCTCCTCGTTCACGAACTCGAAATCCATCCCTCACGTAACCACACACGCCCTAATGATGCTCACATTCGCATCCACCATGCCTATCTGCGGTGCAGGGAGGCCCTCGTACCACGTGCTTCGAACATCCGCAAAGCACGTACATGGACAGAAGCAATCTCAGGTAACTGCGAAGACAAGGGAGGGGACCAAGGTGGGCGTCGGTGATTCCGGGTAGGATTTGGACCCCCCATTGTTAGTGTGGGGATGGAGTTGCAGGTGCGGGGACGCCTCGGGCGAGTGCGCATATTGGCAATGGGAACATCAAATTGACCGCTGGTAGTTGATCTGCTCGGACCGGATAGTCTTGGGATTTCGGATTCTCAGGCTTGCGACGGATCAGACTACTCTCTCATGTGGGCGCTTTTTCGGACAGACTTGTCTCCGTATTTGTAGTTTTGTTCCACTTACCAGTTTATAATGGGATAGACGATCGTGCCAGAACTGGCCGCAAGGACAGTTCCATACTGACCTGTTGTATATTTCGAGCTTCTAGTGTTTCAATATATTAGTCTGAGTATGTACGTCCATCGCTGCATGATGGCCAATACCCGTTGAAGAGGATCCTTCCACGAGCTATAAGGTACAGGTTAACAACGTATCTGCAGGATCCAGGTGTACCAGGGCAACGGCGTATCGCACTGATGTGCAACAGCAAGGTTTCTTTACATCAAGACCTTCATCAATCAACGCCTGAACAACATACTGCCGCTTGCGAATGAGTTGGATAAGGGTGGCCATACCAAGCAGAACGCCGGTGTCAGGACCCTGTCCAGGCACGAGTCGTGCGTGCAAAGTCGATCAAGGAGAGTCCGCACAAGCGAGGATCATCCTCCTCAGCCTCATCTTCAGTCTTCGTCGTTGTCTTCTGCAAAGGAATCGACGGCAAGACCCGTCGCAATAACACCGTCATCGCGATTTCGTCTAGTTCAACAGTGATCTTCTCCTCATCATCTTCGCACAGGAGCACCCCCTCGTTCCGATCCAAGCCAAATTCGCCAGCAGCGGCAGGCTTGTCGTTCAATACAGAGACACCTAGTGTCTGCACAGCCGTTTCTGCACGTGCCCAGTTACATTCATGTATGATAAGGATGCTCCCGCCTGCGATTCATACTTCTGCTTTGGCAAGTGCTGGACGTGAGACGTTCAAGCGCCTCGAGCGGGCGCGTGAGCAGAACTAACAGGGAATGTGGAGGTGAGCCCAGTCGGATGTTATCGGGCGTGTCATGAGATCGCATGGAATCCATACGCGACGTTGTCGAGGACGATCGTGGTCGTTGTTCCGTTGGCTGGTGTCACCATCGGTTCCAGTAAGGAGCCTATGAGGTGGTGTCCAAGCGACAGCACCCCCTAGGAATTTCAGGACCGAAAGCAGTAGCGAATTCAATCATGACGCAGCCACGGTTGCAGTGTCGAAGGTAGAATGCCAGTTCTCTAGGGAGGGGGGGCTGGTTTGAGGAACATGAACGAGCCATCCTCTGTTGTTTGTATACGCCTTTCTGTCCACCGACCTGTGAAGAGAGCAGCACTTGGGGTAGAAGGGTACAGGGTCGATAGGGAGTAATACATAGCGACAATGATCTTGTTGCCGACCGTACTATGCCTGATGACATCGTCAGTGGAAGAGAGCGAAATCAGACAGCAAGACACCACAAGAAGGCCAAATTTCATTCATTACCAAGATCGCAGAACAGCTACTGTTGATACTTGCGGCCTGAGGTTATACAGCACCAAACCCCTTTCACACCACAACGTTACTGCCATGCTCAGTTTGTTTCATTCATCACGGCGCAGAATGGACTGAGTGAAAGCTGAGCACAGATGTGGCGGATGCCCGATGACATGGACAGTCCGAGTGACCATTAATAATCGCATTTGTTGTGGTACCGAAGCTGATGCAAAGGAGCGGAAGGTACCTCAGCTAAGTTCGAAGGATGATTGAGACGGTTGCACTATGCGTGAAGATGCAGAGTGGAAAGGAAAGTATCTCGGACGGGAGCTGGGGAAGGAGCAACACAGGGCACTGAAGAATACAACCGGAGCTGTAGAGACATTCCGGGTAAGCACGACAGATGACTGACGAGTGACTGATTATACTATAGTAGGGCGCTCCTGAAGGTTTATGCGGGTTGGCAGAGTAATACTCTTCCGATCACCGGCCGTGAAACGCGGAGGCAGTAGGCGAAGGCCGTGAGTATTCGGACGTAGAACGATGGTGTGATGGTCCTCTATAGTTGCGTGCGTTGGCGAAGAAATAGCCAACCTAACGGTGATGACAGGCTGAGACACAAGGTAAGGTCAACGACAGGGTGCATACCTGAGAACAGGAAGTTGACGCTGGGGAAAGCAGACGACGTGTGAGAGCGCTATAGTGAAGACGACGGGGACTACACCGATCGATCGATCGGCTGCCAGTGACTGGGCGATTTCCTCACAGACGGTCATCTGTACACGCAACGCAACAGTCGGCCAGGAAGCTGCTGCGTTGGGACTGGTGATGTCATCAGACTCACTCATGTAGCGCAACAAGCTCGCGATCCCGCACATCACCCGCTATGTGATGCTTCTCAGCAAGTTCGAGACTGGTGTGATACGGCAGCGCAGAGGGAGAGCAAGAAAGTTCAATGCTGAACACACAAGTTCGGTGCTGCATCGTCAGGTCAGTTCCTGTTCTACGATACGAGTCTGGTGGGCGCTGGCACGTGTCTACTGTGCCAGTTGGCGCTCACGAGCGCGCCCACAACATTCCTCTTCCCCTCCTAACTTGACGTTCGCAGCGTCAATTCAAACTCACAAACCTCACAGGGAATACACCCCCGATTGTTACATCAATGGACAGTGATCAGTTGAAGAGGCGTCGCTCCAGCTCTGCCAACCCATCCAGTTCTTTTCCTCCTTCGGTATGTCGCCTGATCTTTTCTAGCGATGGTATGTGTCAAAATACTAATTTCTTCGCAATGACCGGCAAGAAGTCAAAGAAACCTCGCACCAGCCTTGCAAATCCATCCAACCTCGACGCTCCTTCGGTATGCACATCACTCCTTTCTGGTAATGGTATATTATGCCAATTGGCCAAAAATCAGTCGCAGGGATCTTCTCAGGCTGTTGCTCATTTATCCTCTGATATTCAAGCGTTGGGCAGTGCCTCTCAGGCGCCAATGTGAGTTTTTGCTCATCCATCAGAGCCAAGTTCCCCAAGTCACATCACGGGAGGGAGCACTGACATCCATGTTGATCGGGCGATTTACAAACACAGAGGACAATTTCAGGTCGCTCCGAAGTACAAAGTATGTGATCTATGCTGTCTCAGTCTTTCGACTACTCTAAGGAAGCTCGCTGGACCAAACTCAGAGGTCGGCCGATCAGCCAACTTTTGGCAGTATGGATTCCATGTCGCCGACATTCCTCGGTATGGGTCCCGCGATGGATATGGGCGTAGAAGGTGTCAACCCTGCGGCTGGTGCAAATACCACACTCGCCGAGACCCAAAGCTTCCCAGACACGTATCTAAAACCGTTCAAAGATTTCAGTCAAGCCGTTACCACCCTTACTAAGGTAGGCAATCATTGTTCTGCATCCATCTGATGACCCCATGCCTGTGCCAGATCCATCCATACGCCCGTATGGCGCTGGGAATGTTAGTAGCCATTTCTCAGGTACGTTCTTACTCCTGTATGCATTCTTCATCTTACGTAGTCGTACGTAGATGTTCGTGATTCAACAGACCCGAGATGAGCGGGTCTCCCGCCTCCTGGATACAGTCAGAAAGGTTTACGAATTCCTCACGGAAGAAAATACCCTTAAGGAAGTTTCGGGCAAGCTGGAAACCTTCGCGAAGATCGCACTGATGACAAGTGGTGCGGTGCAGTTCATCAAGAATTACTCCGCGACCGTAGACTTCTGTACGTCAATCACATTGGTCCACCGCCCGAGCTAATGTAACGCGGTATCAGGGAAGAAATCAAGGAAGGACGTGGAATATGAGTCGCGCGACGTTTCTATTGCGTATACCGAGATGCTAGAGGACTTGATGCAACAATACCGGCGCCACGAGGGCCGAGGTGTCCAGGTCGATGCATTCCTCGTACTTGAAGACCTGGACTTGCACGGTTTCGCCCGTGCCCGAGGCATGGGTGTCGATTGGACCAAGAGATGCCTCGATGGCACTAGGACGGAAACCCTCACGGACATTGTTAACTGGATCTATGATATCGATGAGAACGTGCCACGCATCCTCTGGCTCCACGGGCAAGCTGGAAGAGGGAAATCTGCCATTGCGCATACGATCGCTCTGTGGTTCAAGAACGTTGGAGGGGTCGGCTCTTGTTTTTGCTTTGCTCGTGACCGTCAGGCCGAGCACTTGGAAGAAAAGATAATCAGGACGGTTTCGAGCGATCTTGCAGAACGTGATCCTGCCTTCCGGCGAGCCTTGGCGGATGCAGTCGCGAAGGACGATGTTCTCAAGGCTACCTCTGACATCGTGCTTCAGTGGAAGCGGCTCATTTCGGAACCATTGCATCAGATCTCGGATCATACCGTTGGAAATGTGGTTATCGTCATCGACGCTTTAGACGAAATCGGGGCGGAACCATCGCGAAGGCACCTGCTGTCTGTGCTCGCGTCAGCCCAAACTGCTAAACTACCTCGCAACGTCCGTATTCTTGTAACATCCCGCACATTGCCTGATATTGAGTATGTCCTCAATGCTGCTCAGCATGTGAGGGCGACCTCGTTGGACGTCGTCTCTACAGGGTCATCGGAACGTGACATCCGACTGTACATCACGGAAAGAGTGGGCCATCTTCGGGGCATTGGGTCTGCAGAAGTTCATGGGATTTCCCAGAAGGCGGAAGGTCTATTTGAATGGGCTCGTCTGGCATGTGAATTCGTGAATGCAAGTGCCATCAAGAACGGAGCAGTCAAGGAATGCGTCGACAATGTCATGCATATTCGTTCAGGAGGTGGATTGCTGGACGCCATGTACCGAGTGATTCTTGAAGACAGTATCCCCAAGGACGGGACCATGCTGACACGGTTCCGTTCCGTGATGCAGCAGGTCATGTCAGCCCTCGAACCTCTGCACTTGAATACTCTGAACAAGATGCGCCGTCACTTCCCTGACAACGAGGATCATTATGATGTAATTGCGATTCTTCAGTCGATGACGCCGCTATTCAGTGGCATTACAGATAGGTCTTCTCCTGTCCGACCACTGCATGCATCGTTCTATGACTTCCTGATGGATCGTTCACGGAGTGGTGTCTATTTCATTGACACATCTGACGGAAGAGACATGGCCTTTGCCACAATGCAGATCCTCCGTGATGACCTTCGATTCAACATTTGTGGATTGGAAAGCTCATACCTGGTCAATGCTGAAGTTCCTGATCTGTCGAAGAGAATCAAGGAGAACATCCCACACCATCTCTCCTACTCCAGTCGATTCTGGACCCAGCATTTGGAGAAGACAGCATTTGACTTGCCACTTGGGGTGCTGGTGAAGGCCATTGTTGGAAGTGAGAAAATTATGTTCTGGCTGGAGGTATTAAGTCTTCTTGGGATGGTTGGAAAGGGGGTGGATGCTCTTGGTGCTGTTGTAACATGGCTACAGGTGAGTACCCAATGTATGGTATTTGATGACATCTGACACAATGATGAAGGGACAAGATGGCTTCAAGGATATATTGGGATTGGTAGTAGATGGAATCAAGTTGATTCAGAATTTTGGCAGTGTGATGGAGCACAGCACTCCACACCTGTATGCTTCTGCATTGCCATTTATTCCTCCTAATGCATTGCTATCAATAATGCTCTTGCCAAAATTCCCAAGGCTGGCTAGAGTTGCTGTAGGAGGATTGAAAGGGTGGCCAGTTGAACAGCAGCTACTGCATGGGCATACTTCCTTTGTCAATTCAGTTGCATTCTCCCCTGATGGGAAGAGGATTGTTTCCAGCTCCTGGGATGAGACTGTGAGGGTGTGGGATGTTGAGGGAGGTGTACAGATTGGCAGTCCTCTTGAGGGCCATACTTCTTATGTCAATTCAGTTGCATTCTCCCCTGATGGGAAGAGGGTTGTCTCAGGCTCAAGGGACAAGACTGTGAGGTTCTGGGATGTTGAGGGAGGTGTACAGATTGGTAGCCCTCTTGAGGGTCACATTTCTGCAGTCAATTCAGTTGCATTCTCCCCTGATGGGAAGAGGATTGTCTCAGGCTCAAGGGACAAGACTGTGAGGGTGTG